CAGCAAACACCCTGAATCGCTCGTTAGTGTAAACCTGGACTCATCTGTGAAGAGTATACAATTACATTGCTGTTTGTCTCAATAAACGTGTTCCTTTGCCCAATGTAAAGTGACACATGTCTGCCGATGGCTTATGGGGACATGCACAACTGGTCTTTTCGAGACCTGTTTTGGAAGGTGCTTTTGCCCCCGGGCGGAAATACTTTTCTTGATACGAAAAAGATCTGAACAGGGATGCACAATGCTTTTTCCCATTCAGTTTGGGTGAAAAAGCCCCAGGTGTTTTACTCATGATTGACCTGAAACAGGGCAACGAGAAAAAGGTCCCCCCGCAAAGTCGGGTTTTTTTAACCCCGCCGGATCTTAAAAAACTGAAAAACCAAAGTTTCTAGGTTTTGGGGCCCAAAATTTCCCCCCTGATGCTGGGGTTTGACGTTCCCCGCCTAGAACATGTCTTCTAGATATATAGTTTTTAAATTCCTGGATCACACTGGTAGCCAATTTTGAGATGCCCAGCGCACAGTTTGTAAAAGCCCTTTCATCCCCCCAATGCCAAAAGAATTGAGAAAAAATTTTTTCCGGCACTTGTTTCCGATACTGTAAAAATTCCAAAATTGAATGTCAACAGCCATATATAAACATAAAAAACCATGAAATTTAGGATTTTTCCAAATTTTTTAAGCGTCCGTTTCTTTAAAATAAATTTATGACCATCTTTCTTCTTTAAGTACATGATTATTATTCATGTACACAAAGAAATTTATTGTTGCTACGATCTTTTTAATGGGGAGCTTCGAAAAATTCGTTGTACCTTAACTTTTGGAGTTCAGTGCAGTTTGAAAAATATATATTAGTTTAATAGGCTTTAAATTATTTATTGGAAAAATTATACATATTTTTTCCGGTCAATTTAACTCTATGTCGAAATCCTTCAATTATTTATTGAAATAGTTTAATTTATTATATTTTTATTTTGTGGCATAGAAATGATGATGTACAGGATACTGTCTCATTTTCGCGATATTTTAGTTATTATTAGATTATTTGCCATTGATAAATGCAATTGCTCAATAACGTAAGCCACGAGTTCAAGACTATGACCATTTGACTATAGTGGGCATTAACAAAATCTACCATCAGAATCTTTGATCTTTTATTAAAGATGTTTAAGAGATTTATATGTATTAAATTTTATTTATTACTCAGTTCTCTCACACTTATTATGCTTTGTATTTCCATCTTAAATTTTAAATATTGCACTGTGTCTTCTTCAAGCTAAAATAACTTGGCAAAAAAAGCAATCTTTGATGAAACTCCCTCTTGCATAGAATCAAGCATAGTTATTGTGCAGCGCAAAAACTGTACACTTTTAATAAGTACGATAAATGTTTAGATCTGAATCTATATATAATTTTTCAACGATTGTAATGAAAAAAATTCTCAAGTTTTTTTTTTACTTAAATATCATCACTTATACAACTGGATCCTTTCTAGCATGAGTTGTACTGACGAATTATTTGGTTTAAAGCCACTGTCTGTATTGTGGATTTATTTACTCACCAGTGTATATTTTTCTTAGAAATGCAATTAATATATTTGAAGCATAAAACCTTTTTTCTGTGTTTTAAGTCTAACTATGAATTAAGTTTTGCCTTGATGAAGATAATTTTTTAACATATGCCATTATCTTACTCGGACCGACTTAGACGTTAGGTTAACATATTTATAAAATATGGCGTATTTATATATAGAGTAGGGAAATTCTTTAAATAAATTCAAAAACATTGAATAAATTGAGTCGACCTGTAGATATTCTACAGAAATATCATGCAAAGCTCCACACAGCTTTATATATTTCTTTAATTTCCTTATTTCAATACAGTTCCAACGACCCAAAGGTTTAAGAGATGTACCAGAAATAACTTTTCTAGCTTTCTTGAATTACAGTTCTTTTCACACTAACTTTAGAAAACTAAATTAATTTTTAAAATAATAAAAAGTATTCTGTGAGAAATATATTGTATAATTTGCCATTTTATTTTCGTTTTATTTATTACCTTAAATTGTGTTTTTTATTAATATGCTATTAATATTAACACTATTACAATTAATAAATGCTAACTTTAAATCTTAAGAACTCTTAATGACAAATAGATTTTAAAAAAATCTACATATATATTACATATATGCGTGCAAATTAGTCTGTTATTCAAAAATCATACTTAATATGAATTTCAGCATTACTTAATAAAAATATTAATATTGTTTAATTACATACAGTTACGTTTATATGAAAATTTAAGATTTTTAAAAAACCTTTTAAAAATTTAAAAAGGGAGAAAGAAAATGCTATTCAAAAATTAAAAATTTGTAAATTTTAAGAAAAAGTTTTAATAGTAGTAATTTTTATGTAATAATTATTGAAATATTATATAAGAATAATGAGTAGTAAAATGAATAATTTTATCTTAAAATAGCTAAGTAGAAAACCGAATTACGAATAATACTGTGAATAATACATCATCACTGGGACTCCCATTTTTGAAAAATATTTTACATGCAGAGCCTTTTTTTACGAGCAACATGATTTATAGATTCAACATTATTTTGTGTTTATTTCGAAGATAAATGACAATGATTTTCATAAGAATTTAGTTTGAATTGCTGTTTATTCATCAAACTAAAGAGTGCTTAAAAATTCGGCACAAGATTTTTACTTTTAAAACCATAATGTTAACTCTCCCAGGAAACAGTACATTTTCATTTTCTCAAAATTTTCAGAATTAGGTCCTTGGTCTTTTAACGTTTTTCCCAGGAAAGTTTCTTCACAGAAAATTGCAAATTAGCGCTGGCGTGTAGTTAAAAACTTTCGAATTATTCATATTTAGACCAGACAAACAAAACAGCTACGCTTATTTTCCCTTTTCTCGTAAATCCGCATTTGGTGCAATTGCAAATTACTTTTCAGAGTGTCATTAATATGTTACAATTTCAAAAGTTTCAACATACAACGTTTTAAATAGTGAGAACTTAGAACATGATTTTTTTTTAAAAAAAGAATTGCAAGTCATTTCAACTATTTTAAAAAGAAAAACTCCGAATAAGCTGTATAATTTAGTTGATGAATCTCCATTTAACATTTTTTTCATTAGAAAATAACCGAAATATTTTCTTAAAAAAATGCATTTGATCTTCTCCGAAATTAACGAAACATCGAGAAAAATTAGAGGAGGGTCTATTTCTGAGAGAAAGGCATCATTTTCCAGAAGAAAATGAATCACATCTTCTTAGAAAGCCGAAGAATAATGTCTGGAAAATAATGCTTCAAGAGTTACGGTCTATGATTTTTCAAACTCCCTATTCTTTGGATATCGTTTCTTAGAAAGACGATTGATGAGCATGGCGTGCCTCAACTTCGTTTTATCACGGACGTTTAAGAGGAGTTTCTAGTAAACGAGACATTTCAAAATTCAGCAAGCAGGCGCCACTTGTTCCAGGATGGAGATTGATTTCGAACAGACAAAAAAATCAATGAAGAAGTATCCTGACTCTTTTACCAGATGGTATACAGTTGGATGTATGTCAAAACGGCCGATCCTCCGAACCCTACTTTTCTTTTAGGATTTTGAAATGAAAATTTTAAGGCCTTTTTTGTAATATCTATTTTCTTCAATTCCTCTCTCTCTACTATTAGTTCACTCTCTCCCTATATATATATATATATATATATATATATATATATACAGTCGGACCTCTATAACGAAGTCGCTAATTCCCGGAAAAAGTTCGTTATATGGAAAATTCCTTATATAGAAGTTCATCTTTTAATATACTTTATATATAAACCACATAAAACAAATTTTAAATTCATAAACACTATAAATTAAAAAAAGAAATCATTCACACCTTTCTTAAAATTAATATATGTTTATTTTATATATCTTACCCATAAAGAAAGAAAAACGGCAAGAAAATCAAGAAAAAAGAATGTCGAAGAATACATTGTATTTTCAATACTAAAAAATAATTTTGTATTAAAATTAATGAATTTTAAAGACATTTTTATAATTTAAAGCATTCAAGTAATATTAAACATACATTATTTTATAACTAGAGCACGGGGACATGGGACAACTCAATTGAGTGTGAAAGGGGATATCGAAGATGTTTCTAGTGAACTGGACAATGGTGGTTAATGGTTGCACTTCTTAGATGAAACGTCTAGAATTCTAATGCTCTCGGCGAGTTAGGATCTAATAAAAACAGTTCAAGATTTATGACCACCATAAAATGTGGTAAAGAGAGAATAACTTGAAATGTTCAGAAATACTTAAAAAAAATAGGGAGAAAAAAATTGAATCTCAAAAGAAAAAGTTCGTTACGTAGAAAAGGCACTTCGCTATAGTGGTTATTTTACGAAGAAAATCGTAAAATGACCAAGGTTCCAGGAAAAAGTTCGTTAAATAGAAAAATTCGCAATATAGAGGTTCGTTATATAGAGGTTCGACTGTATATGTATTGTTCAAATTTTCAATCATTAATAAAATACTTTCTATTCATCCATTCAAGTCCACAAATACGTTTTTCTAAACTTGTAGTGGATGACACTTAATGTTAATACAGTTTTTTTTAAATATTAACTCATTAATTCATTAAACAAAAATAATAGTCCAATAGCATATATAGAAAGGAAAATCGTTCATTGTATCCTTGTAGTGCAGGGGTGTCAAACTTGCGGCCCAAAGCGAACATTTTTGCGGGACGGCCAATATATCCCCACACAATAATACATAATAAAATTTAAAAAGCTCTCCCGAAATTGTAAAGATAACGGCAGAAAAGAGATGTCAAGTGTCAGGATAAAAGCATTAAATTTATTTTTGTTCTTTTACACATGTTTATTATAATGTATTATTCGAAATAAATCTACGTTTCCATAAATATTGATTTTTTTTTGCGGCCCGCTTAAAGTTAGACCTTGTTTGTTTGGTTCAAGTTGGATTTTGACACCCCTGCTGTAGTGCATTGGACTTCTAATCCAAAGGTCGTGGATTCGAATTCCACTTGGGATGTTTTAATTTCTGAGAATGTTATTCCTTTTTACTATACTATTTTATCAGAATAATTAAATTTAATGAGTGAATAAATAATAAACAAAAAACCCCAAAAGTCCAACACCATATATAGAAAGGAAAATGGAAAATTGCAAGGGAAATCGCTTTCTATTTTGTCAATATTGTAATTCTGTCGTATGTATACACATATTATGTTAATTGCAACTATTTAATAAAAAGTAACTAAAATAATTAAAAAAATTTGTTGACCTAAGTAGGAATTGAACTAAAAAAAATTTTTTATAATACTTGTTCTACTAATAGTCAAAGTGATTTCAATTAAAATTTTATTTGAGATGTTTGTATGTTCAGTGATTTATTTTATATATATTCTCCGTAAATAAAAAATGTTATAGTACTAAAAATGTAACTATAAATTAAGATGATTGATTATGTACGGAACAGTGATTTTGAAAAGTGTACAAATGAGAATAATTTCTTAATATTGAGCGTCACCTAAATTAGAATACATATAAAAGTATTATAAGAATATTATTATTATAAAAATTATTTAAATATAATTTTTGGAAAAAATTAAGAATGAATTTTCCTTTTATAAAAAAATGCTTCTATATTAAATGTATTTTATTAAGACATCTTTAGAGACTGAGCTTAAAGTTTTGAAAAGTTCAGAGTTACTGTCTATTGAAACAATAGCCGGTGTTTTTTGTTAAAATTTCTTTGCAATGGTGTATTGAACTATCAATAAATCCATTTCTAAATAAGGTACTTCGAAATTCCTAGTTCAGACTCTGTACAGAAGTCTTAGCAAAATATATAGACAAAATATTATCATAGAAGTATTTTTCATAAATGGAGAATGTTTTGAAAAATGTCCTTCTTGCTTCCTTTTTTTGCCAAAAAAATTGCATTTAAATTATTCTTTTTGAAATAATATTCTTAAAACCATTGAAAATGAAGGTATATTCTATATCAAGTGAGACACACACTAGATTTATAAAAAAATCATTCATTTATACGCTTTTTCAAGATCTCGGTTCCGAACACAGCCAGTCACCTTAATTAATTCGTGTAAAAGATAATTAAAAATAATGAATGTTTCTCTAGCATTCCTTAATAAATTTGGGATTTTAATTTTCATTTCATAATTTTCACTACATAAATTTTATAATAATCTAAATAAAATTTGTAGCACGTATTCTGAAAAGATTAATGAAGACTAATTGCTTAAAAATCGACATAACTAAATCATTATTTATTATCACTGTGATTTAAAGCAATACAAATTAATGTATTTCTAGGTATTTTGTTGTTTTCTAAATTCCTTCAAAACATTGATTATCTTACTTTTGTCTTACTATATCCCTGATCAGAATCCAAGTATTATGCTCTCTTGTGTATATTATCCATAAAATGTTACGCCTCAAATAGGGGCTTCTGAAAATGACTTTCGACTAGGGGTCTATTCCCGAGATATTTTTTACGGAATCAGAACTGATGTAAAACCATATCGATAGTTCTGAGACTAATAAACCTTTTAACTGGATTGAAAAACAAAATTTGGATTAAAACTTGTTCACACATTTCTTAAAAATACTTCTGTGTCACACATAGCACTTGGGGATTATAACCTTTAGTTTTCATTGACTTAGTTATCGAAATTTGGTTTTTTTTTTCAGGTTTATAAAAAAAGGTTAAGTGGCCTTTAATTTAAAAAAATAATTAAAGCTGATTTTTTTTGTTAAGTGTTTGAAAATTTCATATTGTAAAGGCATTTATGGATCATATCCAGTTATAGAACAAAAATTTTTAAATACTCTGAAAGTCTGGCTTTTAATTAGCCAGCCTTTTTAAAAATTTTACTGTGTAATAATGATTAAGAATTTTTAGACTTAATTGTTTCAATTTAAAAGAATATTTGGAATTTACTGTTTAGAAAAATAATGTAGTATTTAGAACCATAAAAATGTAAGTATTATCTTTTAAAAGTATAAAATCAGATACTGATCTATTTTTTTAAAAAAAATTTAATATAATATGAGAGACTTTGCTATCTTTCGTAATATATTTCTGCTAGATTACATTAACCATATTTTTTAATCTGAATATAGTTCTTAGCTATTTAGAATATGAACTATTATTGAGACAGGTATTTTAAATTCGAACTGATTCAAATTTTGTTTTGTTTATTTGCAAACTGGTATATTAAACAAATGCTATATTGTATCTGATTAACCTAAAGTTTTTTAATACAATCCATGTTTATTATATTTCGCGTTCAAAGAATAAAACTTTTCACTTTAATATCTTATGATTATCTATTATGCAAAAATTAACGAAAGCATAAATTGTATGTGGGTATTGAATTTATTTTAGCATTATTTAGAACATTATTTCAGCATTCAGACATTGACGATTAGAGCTTATATTGACTAAAATAAATTTAAAACCTTTTTCAGTCAAATCAGTGAATCATTCATGCAATTGAAAAGAAAATAGACGATAAGTATTAATAAAAGTAAAAAAAAAAAATCAAGAATTGAATCAAAACCCTCATCTATAATAATTCCAGTAGTATCAAAAAGAATTTAAAAAGATGAGCCAGCTCATTAAATGTTGCCAAAGACACAGTTGCTAGACATAGAGGCATTTTCTGGAAGATTCAAGAATACACATTTTGGTTTCAGAGCAACGTGATTTATTTAAATTAGCATTTTAGTCAATTCTGAGAATTTTACGGAGTAATATCATTAAAATGAAAGCGTATCTGATTCGAAATCATATAACAATAATATAACGCATATTTGCAATGAGTATCAAAAGAACTCTCGAAATATAAACCTATAAGACAAATTTAATTTTCATTTATTTAATTTTTGGCAAAATGCAAGCCAGGCATAGAAACTAAGAATGTTCGACAATGGGAAGAAGGACAAATAAATTATAATTTACCGCAACATCTTTACTATAAAAATATTTTCAATTTTTCCAATGGAATGAATGTTTCAATGTGAAATATGTGAATCCATCTTATATAATAAGTTTAAAGGCAATTTAAAAAATAAATATATATTGATAATGATGGACGATGATGTCAAAATTTATTTCATTTAATAAAAAGATATTGAAAAAATTTTCGATGCCATTACAGAAAAAGTTGGACAAGTAGATGAGCAAAAAAATGTGAAGAAAGCTAGCAAAATAGATTTTAAGAATTTAACAATTTTTTCACACTATTTTGACAATTTATCAGTTCATTTTATCTCAGCCATTCGAGAAAAGTGTCTGTACCTGATAACTTTCTAAAATTCTTCACAAACTAATAATTAGAAGCAATCGGAGTTGAGCAAAATTCGACGTTTCGTATAAAAAAAGCACCGAATAAGAAACTGAATCTTAAAAATTTTTTAAAAAGAGAAAACAGATTGCAGGTATTCATCATAAATGACAGAATGTATAATTGCCCGTACTTATCGTTAATCAAGAAACAAGAAAGAACCGAGAAAGAGAAAAAGAAAGAATTAAAGGGGGAAAAAAAATAATTTTTGTAATAAGCGGAGTATTTTTTTATTAATTTTGTAGTTTTTTTTCCCTTTGGAAAAAATTATAATGAGGCCCAAAAAATTAAAAAGTTCATAGAAGATAAATTGTTTTTTGCAATAAGGGGGGTTATGTTGGGAAAAAAGGCTTCGTACCAAAATTTCAAAAATAAAGAGAATGAGGATCTTTTCCTCTGACTGTATTTAAACAAAAATAAAAAGCAGAACCCGGGGACCAAAAAGAAGGTTTGTAAATCCGACTTATTTATCCAAAAAGAACCCCCAGGGGGAGAATTTGGAGGTTTCCCCTGTTTCGGTAACGGAGTTTTTTTCCTAAATTATTTTTTTCCCAAGAAATTTTTATTTAAAACCCCCCACCCCCAAAAGGGGGATTTTTGAATTTGAAGGTTTGCAAAAAAAAGTTTGAGCTTTTGGACGGGGTAGGTTTTAACCCACTTTTTATAAAAAAAATATGCAACCAGGGGTTTCGGGAAGAAAGTTTTTTGGGAAATACCTGAAGCCTTCATAAAAAGCCAAAGGGGTTAGTTTTTAGATTTCCCCCCTGGGGTTTTAAATTTTTGGGAAAAAACTGTCTTCTTGAAAGATTTTGGAAAAGGTTTAAAAGTTCCTCACCCTTTTAAAATTTCCATTTTTTTGAGGTAAAAAGAACCCCATGTCAGAATAGGTTTTGGTTTTTTGGTGACCCCAAAATAACCCCCATTTGTCTCTAAAATTTTCTGAAAATTTGTTATTTTGGTTTATAAATTAAAAAAACCCATTTAAAAAAGGATTCCCCCCAAAAATGCATAATTTTAGTTGGTATTTATTTTTCCTTAATTTTCGGGTAAAAAAACCTGAAGATTTGTTTAAAAGTATCAAAAAACCCATTGGCCTTGCCAGTAAAAACATTTCCCCCGATTTACGGGTTTGGGGCAAAATGATCTTATATAGGATTTATCTCCTTTGGGAGTCTGCTTCCCTTTTTTCAGAATGAGTGAAGTTACACAGGTCCTGGGCCACAAAGGCCCCGGAGTGAGGGTTTCAATCTTTAGACTTTAAACCCCCCACAAAGCTGTTTTTTTTTAATGGGGTATTTGGTCATAAAAGGTTCAGTTAAAAGCCAAACAAAGCCCCCAAAGAGGGTGGAGTTTTGTCCCAAAAGCAACAGGGGTCCAAAACGGGGATCGTAATTTTGAAACTCAATAAACGGTCTCAATCATTAAACAGCCCAGAACAAACGCGTGTCCATGGGGAGTGAGGATTTTTATGTTAATGTCGCTCTAAAAAGCAACACGAGTACTACAAGCGATGGACCTCGTAATTTTGAACTCTCAATGAACTCTTTTTGGTCTCAATCATTAAACAGACGCAGTTAACAAACGCGTTGTCATAAGAGGAGGGTTTATGTTAAGCCCAAAAACCACGAGCAAAGCGATGGACCTCGTAATTTTGAACTCC